GGGGCCCACAGGCCCTGCATCGTTTCAGCCAAAAAAAGGCCTGAGCCTTTTCAGCCTGAAACTGAGAGCTATTTCCGGACCTACAGGCCCCATGACGGTTCAGCCCAAAAACCTGACATCCGGGGCCCACAGACCCTGCATTGTTTCAGCCTAAAAAAAGGCCTGAGCCTTTTTAGCCTGAAACTGAGGGCTATTCTTGGGCCCTCGTCAGACCGACCTGCCCTGATACAAGCACATTCCGGCATTGGCAGGAGTGACCTGCCTTGAAGCTTCCTCAAGGGCTAGCATGTGCAGGCATTGGCAAGAGCAGCTCCCTTCATAAGCCAGCACTAAGTAAGAGTGGCCCGCCCTACAGGTTGGGACAGACGAGAGGAGACTGCGCAGGCACTCAACGTGCACTTCTACAGGAGGCAGTAGTCTTCAGGATTCTGCTGCAGTAGTTGAGTAGCGTTAGTAGTAGTCTTCAGCGCTGGGCGCTAGTAGCAGTAGGCTAGAGTAGTGGAGAGAGGAGGCTGGCGGAGGCCAGGGATGCTTACCTGTGGCGCCATAGCTCCAGCTTCGTCTTCGAGGTACCTGCAGCAGAGTGCCACTCACCGAGTGACTTACCTGAGGCGCCATAGCTCCTGCTCGCCAGCGAGGTACCTGCAGCACAGCGCCACCATCTCTCTCCTACCCTCTCACTATCTGACTTCACTGCTTCGGCAGCCTACAAGAGTGAGGGTGGTTTACTTGCAGGGGTACAGGCAGGGGTTGTCACGGGCATTGGCCCAGGATCTGGTTCGACATTTTTGGGCAGACATTGGTTGGACTTCGGCAAGGGACTACTTTGAACTTCGCTATTGCGATCTTAGTCTTCTCTCTTCTCCCTTGCCTCCATCTTCGTCCTTCCTTCCCCCCTCCATCTCTCATCCGTGGTATCTCCCCATGTGCGTGTATGTAGGAGGGACCTTCGTCTATGTATGCGGTCCCTTTGCTCTCTCTCACATTTGTGATGTATGATGGGATGTCGTAACAGTCTAGGTCAGGTCAGGACTTATCTCCAAGTCTTCCGCTGTGCTATTAAATGTCATTGTTCATGAATCAGGATGTACACTGTCTGTTGATATTACGTTAGCAGTCCATTGTCCATTCAGTCCTTTTTATCACAATGTGGATCCTTGGATGAACTTTCAGTGCCCGACTGGGCATGTAACTGCAGGCCTGAATATCCACGAGAGGCCCTCATCTTAGCATTTTCCAATGTGTGTATGAGACACTTGTTGAACGCCAGGTGGTTGAAGTGCAACCTGGGCCTCACCCTAGGCTCTTCCAGAAGAAGCAGCTGCGACAGGCAGTTGAGCCCAGGACGCAGGTGGTTGCGCCCTGGGCACATGCATTGTGAGGCTGACACATCACGAGGTGGCCGCGGGCCAATGAGAATGCAGCATTGTTGGCACACCAACCCTGCGGGCCAATGCAAACACAGCAAACATTCGGAGCCTGGATGAACCTGCGTGTGCCCAACTGAAAAGGGCCCAGGCCCTCAACTGTAGACATGGGCCTGGACTCAGACACTAGCGCCAGACCAGAAGCTACTGGAAACTTCCTCGGCCAGGCCCAGACAGTCCAGCAGCAGGGCAGTGACTCCTATAAAGGGAGGAGGCCAGCCAGTGTGAGGCGTTCTGGCCTAGGCAGGTAATGCGGACACGCTGTTGCGATAGAGCGCAAGTGTCTGCATGCGCTAACGCTGGCTGGGGCGTGTGTGGGCACTAAGAGGTGTGGGGCGCTGCAGGTCAGCGGGGGTGCCAAGCGGCCATAGCTAAGATGCAGGGGTGTGAGCAGGTGATGGACGATAGTGGTCTTCAAGAAGAAGGCGCAAGACTTAGTGTGGGTGGACAAGGGGTGCTGAGGGGATGCAAGAGAACGTACCTGGTGTATGTGGGAGGTCGGCATTGTTATTGACGTCGTGTACATTGGTCTTCGTTGTCAAATTGAGCCTGTTGCATGAAGAGTAGACTGGGCGCTGGGCACCAGACAGTAGGAGCGACATTGAAAACTGTGTTGGTGGTGCCTGAGGGCTTGGACATTGGCTCACGAGCTCATTGTATCGCTCTTATTTGGATGGACTCTTGGTGCATTTGAGCTCTCTGCTTGTTACATGGCTATCTGGACTTCTGCCTGATTTTGCAACTTGGTTTTCTGTTTATCGCTCTCGCTCATATTCCTTGCAAATGTCCGAAAAAACCTAGCAAATCCGTTCTTGGTTGCTTTCTTGTGTGCATAAGATGAAGCTTGATCCAGGTTTTTTTTTTGGGAAAAAACAGGGACGATCTTTAGTCATCATCATCATCTAAGTGAAATGTCAGGCTGCCTCAAGTAAGTACATAAAATGGGCAATGCATTCTCTCTTCTCCTCTCATCTCATCTCCTCTCCTCTCATCTCCTCTCCTCTCCTCTCATCTCATCTCATCTCATCTGATTTGTTTTGACTCAGTGATCAATTGCTGATCGCAGATGGTTTTTCTTCTTCTTCTTTTTTCGGGAAAATGAACAAAATACCATACTTGCGGCGCATCGGTCCTGTGTGCTGCGCGGTGCACGGACCCGAGGTGCGCGCGGGTGTGCTGGGGGGTGCGCACTGGGGGCCCGCAGTGTGTGTTGTCTCTATACATATAAAGGAAAATGCGGGTCTCGCGTGACGGTCCCGCGCGAGACCCGGTTCCCTGGTGTGGGACTCGTGGCAGGCCCAAGGGCGGACTGCGTGCCGGTTCGGTGAGGCCGGGGGGTCGAGTCGGGTTGCCTGCGGGCGGCCAATGTTCGAATTCACGGCCGTTTTTTTTTTTTGGTTGGTGTTGGCGTGGCGCGGGGTCTTTATTCGCTGCAGGTTTGTTTTGCGCCGCGCCTTGATTGCAGGTGTCGGCCATATTCAACCAGGTAGTGTATATCTCCATTTTCTA